TATAGACTTGGCCTGTGATTCACTGCTGCAGGATCTGCTGCGTTGTAATATTTTCCAGAAATGTAACCAAAAACAGCTTCAACGTCGGCTGAAATATGAAGCTGGAGACTGCAGCGGGCAGCAGATGGAATGAGTTTAACACACACACGGAGAGAGAGAGAGAGAGAGAGAGACTCCTCAATCTAATCAAAGTATTATATTGTTGACCATATGCAGTACTCTTGGTCAGTACTCGAGGTTCAACCTGAATGTTTCTTATTTATTATCCATTTATTCAAAAAGTATGATTTAGATTTTTTTTCCCTTTTTTATCAAAAGAACAAAAATAAACACTTTAACAGTCACTACATTTATATAAAACCTTTATTTATATAAAACTTATATATATATATCAAACCCTCTGACCATTAACCCCTCGTTTCCACCAACGCTCGTTCCGTCCATGGCGTTTGTAACGTGGTTGGATCTGTTGATGATCAACGGTTCAACCACAGCCTGACGGATGACGTCAACCTTTTTTTAGGTTGGTTGAAAAAGGACTTTCTGAAGATTGTTGTCCTAGTTATAGAATTCACATCCTCAGCCCAAACCCACGACTGAATCTGACGGAACCGTCTGCCACGTGGAGATCAGAGCCTGAACTGATCCACCTCTGGACCTTAACGTCATTTAATCAAACTCAGAGCTGAGGTTAACATCTGAACATCAGTTCCTAACTCTGGAACAGAGGGATCTACATTTGGAATCACTAGAGAAGAAAGAAAAGAACAAGAACATGAACCAACACCAGGAATATTGGAAAAAATCAAGAACTGATCAATGACTGAGGAGATTGATACGGGATCAAGAGAGGACAGACCAGGAGAGGACAGATCAGGAGATACTTCAGTTTAGTGATTAGTGATGTTTTCTTCCTCAGCCGTTTTTATATCATAGATATATTTACATATTTACTTGTTGACATCGCTGTGCTGTCCTCCGGCGACCTCTGACCTTTTAACATTTTCTGACCTGTCTTTGAACTCTTGGTCGACCATTTACTTAAATTAACAAATGCCATCCATCTGCCCCCCCCTCCCGCCCCCACTACTGAAAACGACCCGTCCACTTCTCCCTAAACAAAACCTCCTCACCAACTGCCCCGTTCCTCCTTACAACATTTACCCCGTGCCCCCCCCCCGTACCTCCCTCCACCTCAACTTTCTGCCGTAGTTCCTGACGGAGACGCGGGGAGGAAGTCTCCCCCTGCTCCCCCCCGAGAGGATTGAGAAGATTGAAAATACGAAAGCTAAACAGGCAGAGCAGTGGGCCAGAGTCGTCAGGCAGGTAGGACCGCGGTGGTCACGGTAGCCAGAGGTTGAGTACAGCCCTCTCCTCTGCTGCTGGTTGTGTCAGTTCTGCTCCTCGTGCTGTGCCTTTTAAACAGTACCATGAAACCATTCAGTGTTGACTGTTGTTGTTGCTGTGGAGCGGGGAGGACAGGGGAGGGGGAGGACGGGGAGGGAGGGGGTCTACTTCTGTGCTCTGCTTTTCCTTTCTTCATTTTCTCCTTTTTCCATTCACCCTGTATGTGTTTCCTCTTTTATTACCACACACACACACACACACACACACTGTTCTTCAACAACTGTCCATGTCCTCCTCAGGTGTCGGAGGATTCTGCTGAAGCCTGGGTGGACGAGTTCACCACATCAGGACCAGAATTCCAACAGGCCAAAGCTGCAGTGGAGGTGAGAGGAGGACACAGACACCAGACCATAATCCATCCATCCATCCATCCATCCATCCATCCATCCATCCATCTATTTTCATCCACTTATCCGTTACGGGGTCACAGGGGCAGCAGTCTCCACCCACATCACATTACACCGTACCAACCCCCCCTGAACCTTCCTGTGGTGGTGAGTCCACTGGAAGG